GTCTAGCTCGCCATTTGGGATTACAATTCTCTCTCTAGTCCATAGACTACATTTTTGTCTTCTACACTAATGATATCAGGTTAGAGACAAAGACTCTGTTGCACAGTTAGCACAACATTGTACTGGATATGCAGGAGGTAAGTTTCCCGTTTGTAGTCTCTTACATACACTGCATCTTTTTACAGCACATAGAAGTCAGTCAAGAGAGGCGTGCACACAAATATCGGCGAAGGCAAACCCACAAGGTGACGGAATGAATCCTGGGTGGTTTCTCAGCTTGATGTTCCACTAACACAGTTTTTCTCCTGGATGGCTGGATGGCAGGGCCGGCTCCAGGCACCCGCCGAGGAAGCTCGTGCTTGGGGCGGCAGATTGCAAGGGGCGGTGTTCCAGCCAAGCTTAGGGCAGCATGGGGGTCTTTTATTTCATTATTTTTTGTGCTTCACCGCTCCGGATCAGTGAGAAAGCAAGAGCCGGCCCTGCTGGATAGGTACATGTGTGTGCATCTGCTTGCGCATTTTCATGGGCGTGCAACATTCTGTGGAATCTGGTTTTTATGTGACATTCAGAGCACACATCTATGAAAAGCACCTTGCTGGTTACTAGCAACCAATGCCCCGCTCCCACAGCTCGCTCCGAGTACGGAAAGGCATCATGAAAGAGCAAATGTCAAATGAATGGTGCCCGGTCACTCGCACATCCGCACAAGCTTTTTGAGTCAGTTACCCTGGCCATTTTGGAAGATGCTTGAAACAGAGCCTCGGGGTCTGGAGCTGTTAGTGCTTCACGGAGACATCTCAGCTCCTCCTCTGCTGAGCCCAGGTTTATGGACTGGCCTGGAGTGGAGAAAAGGAGAAAAAGTACTGTAACGATTAAGGAAACTGAACCCCTACTGCATGGATCTTCATACGGGAGGATCCATGTGCTATCATAGAATCATAGAATATCAGGGTTGGAAGGGACCTCAGGAGGTCATCTAGTCTAACCCCCTGCTCAAAGCAGGACCAATCCCCAACTAAATCATCCCAGCCAGGGCTTTGTCAAGCCTGACCTTAAAAACTTCTAAGGAAGGAGATTCTACCACCTCCCTAGGTAACGCATTCCAATGTTTCACCACCCTCCTAGTGAAAAAGTTTTTCCTAATATCCAACCTAAACCTCCCCCACTGCAACTTGAGACCATTACTTCTTGTCCTGTCCTCTTCTACCACTGAGAATAGTCTAGAACCATCCTCTCTGGAACTACCTCTCAGGTAGTTGAAAGCAGCTATCAAATCCCCCCTCATTCTTCTCTTCTTCTCTTCTCTTCTCTTCTCTTCTCTTTGGTTTGTTTGAAACTTGCTGCTTGTTAATAAAAATGTCAAAGGGGGCACTAGGATGTGAACCAAGGACCACTT